ATTTCTGTACGATTCTTTCCTATAGGTCCAACTGCCTCATTGAAATTCTCCATCTCTTCTTTTTTTTTCCTTTTTTTTGAGACAGAGTCTTACTCTTGCTGCCCGGGCTAGAGTGAGTGCCGTGGAGTCCAGCCTAGCTCACAGCAACCTCAAACTCCTGGCTCAAGCAATCCTCCTGCCTCAGCCAACAAGTAGCTAGGACTACAGGCGTGCACCACCATGCCGGCTAATTTTTTCTATATGTTTTGAGTTGGCCAATTAATTTCTTTCTATTTTTAGTAGAGACAGGGTCTCGTTCTTGCTCCGGCTGGTTTTGAATCCTAACCTTGAGCGATCCACCCGCCTCGGGCTCCCAGAGTGCTAGGATGACAGGCATGAGCCACCAGGCCCAGTCTTTTTTTTTTCTTGAACATATCAGTCACACTTTAAGGTTTGTTCTAATAGTTCAATATCTGATAACTTATAAATTTATGTCTATTAGGCTTATTTTGTTGTTACTGTTGTCTTTTTTTTTCTTCTTGAGAGAGAGTCTTGCTCTGTTCCCCAGGCTGCAGTGCAAGTGGCATCATCATAGCACTGCAGCCTCCAACTCCTGGGCTTACATGATCCTCCTCCTACCTCAGCCTCCCAAGTAGCTGGGGACTACAGGCTGAGCCACTACACTCGGGTGTTTTTCTTATTTTTAGTAGAGACGGGTCTTCGCATGTTGCTCCAGCTAGTCTCGAACTCCTGGCCCAAAGCGATCTTCTGCTCGGCTCCAAAGTGCTGGATTACAGGCATGAATCATGTGCCCAGCCTTTGTCTGCTGTTTTATTCTTGGTTTATGTGATCCTTTTCCTGGCACACGTGATATTTTAGTAGAATGATGATCTTGTGCTGAAAAGCTGTGGAGGTGCTGGGGCTGTTTCTGTCACTCAGGAGAATTATATTTTCTTTGTCAATCAGATAGGGTGTCGGCAGAATCCCTTGATGTGATCAGGTATTGATACAACTCCAAGCTGTATTTCAGCCTTTGGGAAAGTCGATCTGCTTCTTTCTCCAAGGTGTAACACTTCAGGGATCAAACTGGAAGTCTGACGCGTCTACCACGGGACCCTTCCAGCAAGTCTTGAACTCACTTTTGTGAGACTTCCGAAATCTCTTCTTGGCTTTTTTCTCTCCCATTATTTAGATCGTTTTAAATTTGCTGGGCACAGTCGTTGCGCCCGTAGTCCCTGCTACTTAGGAGGATGGGGCTGAGGCTGGAGGATCACTCGAGACTACGAGTTTGAGGCTGCCATGAGCGGTGATCACGCGCTGCACTCCAGCCAGGGCAACAGAGCGAGACTCTGTGTCTTAAAAATAAATAAATAAACAAAATTTTCTCCCGACTCTGCTTTAGTGGTTTCATTTTGTTTTTTTGTTTTGTTTTGTTTTTTTGAGACAGAGTCTCACTTTGTTGCCCAGGCTAGAGTGAATGCCGTGCATCAGCCTGAGCTCACAGCAACCTCAAACTCCTGGGCTTCCAGCAATCCTCCTGCCTCAGCCTCCCGAGTAGCTGGGACTACAGGCATGGCTACCATCCGCTAATTTTTCTATATATGTTAGTGGCCAATTAATTTATTTCTATTATAGGAGAGACCAGGGTCTCGCCCTTGCTCAGGCTGGTTTCAAACTCCTGACTCGAGTAATCGCCCCGCCTCGGCCCCCAGAGTGCTAGGATTACAGGCGGAGCCACGCACCGGGCCGTTTCATTTGTTTTACAGCTTCTTTTAGGTATAATTAACATATAATTACTGCACATATTTAAAACATAATTTGACAAATTTCCCTTTTGATTTCTTGTTTGATCCAAGGTTATTAGAAAAGTGGACACACTCGTGCAGCCATCACAATTAAGACAATGAACAGATCTATCACCTCAGAAAGGCCTCTGTTCCTTTCATAGCTGTGTCCTGATTTTATCTTTTTTTTTTTTTTTTTTGAGTTAGAGCCTCACTGTCACCCAGGCTGGAGTGCATCGTTCGATCTCAGCTCATTTCAACTCAACTCCCAGGCTCAAGAGATCTCCTGCCTCAGCCTCCCACGATATGGGACTACAGTGTGACCACCACACCTGGCTAATTTAAAAAATTTCTTTTTGTAGAGATGGGACTCTCGATGTTGCCTGGCTGGTCTCAATCTTCTGGCTCAGCGATCTTCTGCCTGGGCCTCCCTGAGCACTAGGTTAGAGGTGTGAACCACTGTGCCCAGCATAGGCTTCTATTGCTATATTTCCCCGTAATTACTACTTTACCTGAATCCCACACATTTGGATATGTTGTATTTTCATTTCTTTTAAAGCCGCCATAATGAGCTGGGCAGGTGTTTTTTATTTTATTCACTCAAATTCATTTCTTGGCCCAGAGTTATTTGGAAGTGTGTTGTCTCATTTCAAAGACTA